TGCACGGGGCCTTCGTGGCGGCATCCTGCTCGCGTGCAGCAGCCAGCCTGTCAGCAGGTACCGACATTCGTCTGGAACGGGGCATGTGTTCAGACGCCAGCGACGTTGAAACGCCCCGCCATTATAAAATGGCAACTGAGGGTAAAGCTTCCGCATCGTTCTCATCTGCGGGTACTCGGCTACGTTTGAAATACACGTTTCCTTTGTTTCCTTGTAATGAAAAAACGATTTGATTAATGGCAGCCTCTTGCCGTCCGTAGGGAGAAGGTGGACGTGACTCACATGACCGTTCGTTTCTGTTGTACTGCATTAAGGTGAACTTAGGACCTCCAAGTGGCAAAGCACTACATGCTATTTAATTCCATGTTTCATTGAGCAGAAGTGTTACTTGGAAGAAGTAAAAACATCATCTGTAACCAGTGAGAACATTAAACAATTTCAAACGTTTTTACCTCTAAAATCTTTAACATCTTTGCGGGCTATAAGAATCAGTAAATGTTTGTCTTTGGTAGCTTTTTCTTGGATTTCCTAACTAAGAATACTGGTTTTAATTAGTGCTCAGGACAGCAAACAGCAACTTTTTTTTGGTAAAAAAAACCCCATACCTTACCCACTTCATGATATTGCTGTAACTAGTTTGTAGGTGCCAGTGGTTTTTACTAGTTTCCTCTTTATTACCTCATCATCTATCATGTTGTCTACACTTTGTCAAGCACATGAAATTAAAAAAAAAAAAAACAGGATCATTCCAAGATCAGCAAACATGCTTAGAGTAACTTTTGAGTAATAAGCAGAGAACCTTCAACATAGCCTGTTCCTTGTGTAGTTACCCACTGAACTCCTTATGCACACTCTTTTACTTACCTCATTTACAAACTATCCTGGTTTTAATTACTGGATTCCATGCAATTGGGTCAATAGATTATTCCAGCCACACCTGTAGCTTGAAGTGTAGTGAAACAAGTCTGAACGAAACTGTGTGTGTTGATAAAATGCTAAGTTCCATGCTTGTAAAACGTTGAGATTTTCCTTGCCAATGCCTTGGTCGTAAAGCTTTTAGATCATCTATCCAAATAAAGAACTTGGACTATTATTAGCCTACACAATTTTTCTACTCACAGAATGTAATGTAATGTAATGAGATTCTCAATCGTAAGGAGCTGCAGTTAGCACCTGTGCTTCACTTGAGTTTTATTTAAGTTCCTATTTCAGAACACCAGCAGAAGGGACGTATATGAAAAACGCAGTTCAGCCATCACCACCTATGTAAGCTGCAATCAACTAAGTGCTTTGCCTCGCTGCTGTAGCTCTCATGCTTCTTGGCACTACTCTTATCCTATTAACTTCAGAAGATACCATACTAAAGTTACAGTACAGTAGTCTCCAGAGTGCTCCTAATTGCTGCTCTAACCTATTCTGCAATATTGTGTACCTTTTTTTAAAGTAGGATGAGGTTTCATGAGTCAGCTGAGCCAACCTAACTTTTTGCTGAAAGGAACAGTTTTATTTATTCATTCAGGAAGTTAAGGAGTCTTGAACTAGCTCCTCATGTCTGCTTAGTAAACTTGGCATAAAACAAACCCAACATTCAAGAAAATCTTTGCCACTTTATTAAACTGAATTAGCCTGCTTGGGGCAAGGGGTGCAATGTCAAAAGCCCCACATCTGGGAGGAAGACAACTGTGAGATCACATGGTGACAACTATTAGAACAGCTCACAACTCAGGAGATCTCACTCCAAACAGTAGTAACTATATTGTCCCTATCAAAATGACTTAACACACCAGAGAATAATCAACCACACCAGGAACAGGAGAGGGAACAGGGTAGGTATTAGTTCTGGAAGTACAGGAGAGAAGAAAGAGAGAATGCAACCATGAACCAACGGTGTTTATTGTTGCAGAAGAAAGGCAACTTGGCAAATACTCAGGAAGGGAAAGAGTCTATTGTATATGAATGACACTGATAAGGCACCACCTGAAGCACAGTATAGATACTGTGGAGACCAGCCAGAAAATACCATACAAATGACAATTGAAAAGATCAGGGTTGCTTCATATAACAAATATAAAATTGAAAAAAGATTATCTTTTGAGTTACTATGCCTACCTTCCAATGAATTTATGATTGCTTGCACATCCATAGGGGGTTGTAAGCAGAGCAAGAGTTTTCACATTCCTTTTTCCAACACCTAAGGTTCAGATGAAATGTGTAATCTTATTTTACTCATTTCCAAGGGTAAACAAAGTAACTTGGATTAAGTTTTATGGACAACTCTTCATGTGGAGGTCTGTAAAATTACTGAGTTTATATATGCTAGCTTGTTAAAATGAGGCACACAGAATTAAGGATTTTTCACATAAGTATATAGGACAGTAAGAATTAGCATTAAAGTCATTAATATCTACATTAGCATAGCAGAAATCAAATGCAGTATTTTCTACATTTCTGTTTTAACTTATAAGCCAGGGAGTTATTGACAGTTATTAACTCTGCACATTATCATTAAGTTACTAAAACATCCTGCTAATCAAGTCACAGAGTTATCTTCTTCACTACTGTACTCCCAATTCATATTCTGTCTTTTAGCATCATGTTTCTTCTCAAAAATCCACGAACCAAAACAAATTGCCTTTCAGTTATCTAGGATTCAACAGTTAGCAAAACAACAGGTCATACTGCTTCAATTGCACCAATGCTTTATTTGGAAGTGAATCGCAATGCCATTACACTATTCAAAATAGTCACGTAACTGAAAACTCAGAGGAGTTAAGTGCTTGAACCACACTAAGGCAGGGCAGGGTGGTGTGTTTTTATTCTTGTTGGAGGGAACAACAGGATTTCAAAACTTGACAGGTTTTACACTGTTCTTAAGAGGTGGAACAGCATAAAAAAAAAAATCAAGTAATTTGGGTAACAAGTAAATGTTACATGTTTTCCTGCTATTTGTAGGTATCATTTCAGTAACCATCACTCATTTTGAATGGGCAGATCAAAACATCTACTAGTAGGAAACTTGTTTCACATACTCTTTTTCATTAATTTCCTAATGCAGAACAAACAGAGCATTGAAGTTAAATATAGCCCCACACTTTCACTGAAACAAAAATTATGAACATGTTTTTTCTAGTGTTGGAAGACACAAGAAGGATCACTGGGAGTTAGCAACTATAAGACCTCTTATCTTGGCTGTCAATCAGCAGCCGGAAGCTGAAAGACTGAATTCCTTCTGCTGGACTGATTTATTGCCGCCACAAAGTTTCTTGTTCCAGGCAAGGCTGTTTAAGGCTGCTCCTTAAAGAGTTTTGCTTGGCATAATGTAAGATTAGGACTTTCGTAAACATGCTACTACTCAAGTCAAAGTTAGTCTGCCATTTTATTTTCTTGTATACAAGATAGGGCATGAAGCCTTCAGGATCTTTTAACTTGAGAATACTTTTTTATGAAGTCATCTTTTTTTTTCCTCTTTCTTGAAAATCATCAGTAGTAACACATCATTATTTCATTGTTGCTGTTAGTTTTAATCTAAACAGTGTGAGATGCACTGAATTTCTGGTAACATCTTTTGAGAATGTTTATTGAAATATTAACAAGTGTTCAAGAGGAGAATCTGTGTAAGCACTCTTCCAAAAGATGGCTGAGTATTCCTAATTGGAAGCAAATCACAGGACAACAAAAAAGAATTCAAATACACTGAGGTCCCAGGGGATAAGTTTTAGAGGAGACTGAACACTACTGATTCCTCTCCTAAGTGAGGATTTCACAAACAGTGTTACAGGTTTTCTCCAGGGGACTGAAAATGTGCATCTCTTATAGAATATACTTCATTAGAACTAAGTGAGAGTCACCATGTGGTTAGGATTCAAGATTTCAATCCAGTAGCCATCAGGATCCTGAACAAATGCAAGTCCTTTCATTTTACCTATTAGGAAAAAAAAAAAAAAAGATAAAGTTAAGACTACGTGACTAGTTCTTAATGTGAAATATGACCACTTTGAAAAGTATTTCTCCTTTTTTTCCTTTTGCATGAGAACTAGTTCAAATTTAGACAGCTAATTATGAAAACATCCAGGTTAGTTTTTAATCAGCATTAGATCTTTGTATGCTAAATTGTCAATCTTGCTCTCAACAAAGCTGTAGTTTAAAGTCACTTTGAAATTCTGTGTTGTGTTGATTGAAGTTTTCTGCATATGCCCCTTTAAGTGATCATCCTCTAAATTCTGAAAAGTATTTTTGTTCTCCAGGATGTTTTGACATACTTTCTTGAACCAGCTTTGCCAGTATAAAATCCTGTGTTGCTCCACCCCGTCCATCTCTCATCATTCCTGTCTCCACACTGAAGTTTTAAATTACCGGGTTTTGCGTTTTTTTCCCTCCTCAATGTGCCTTACAGTACACGTTTGTATCGCTTCATAAAACAGAGAAATGCAGGGCAGTAATGTTTTAAATTTTACTGTTGGAAAAAATATTACTCATTAAAACAAGGTCCCCAAAAGTTGTCTTGAATAGTATATTAAGATAGCACAGCTTAATTTGTAATCTTGAAGCGTTAACCACACACTTATAATTATACTTGCTCTTTTAGGATATTTACTGTAACAGGACCAATGTAGTTTTTAATATATTCTAGTTACAAAAAAACTTCTGAGAGAATACTAGATACCTGATTCAGTAACGCGGGGCGGGGG